TTTTGTAGTCACTTCCGAGTGATTTTCAGTATCCATTGGTTCAGTTTTGATGTTTTCTACTTTACACTCTTGGGTCATTGATGTATCCGCATCTTTCGGCGGTTCTTCTTCTTTAATCTCTTGCTTGATCTTAATATCCGTTTTGTATTCTTCCTTCTTAGATGGACAGTATTCTTTCATTAAGAATTCGTATGTAGGAGGATCTAGAGCTAATATCTTTAATCCATCTTGATCTTTTATTTGTACCATAACTTTCTGAGGGCCTGTTCGAAGACCTAATTTTGACATGTCAGAAGACCTATGCCGACGGCTAGCAGACACCCACAACCAACCACCTTGGCCGTGTACTCGATATTCTTCGCCTTTCTGTTTCCAGACTTGATGTTTCAAGCCCAACGTGTATTTAACGAAGTTGAACAAACGATTACGTTCTTCTTCATCTTCTCTCTCCTTTTTATCCTTCTTATCCTGCCGTTTTTTCTCTTCTCGCTCGAGAGCTGTCACTCGTTGCAACTTCACGTGCCCGAGCTGATCGTGCCACACGCTGGCAAATACTACCGACTTAATGCATGCTTGTAATACAATAAGAGCACGGGCAAAATCTCTAGGATTAACACAAGCGCCTACTGCCGTAGTCCAAGGTTTACGTAGAAGGGGCCAATTAGTATGCATAAACGATGCTTGAATACTACTCTCAAGTTGAAGAATCGTTTGACGAAGGGTGCTCACTAAAAGAGCACGAGTTCCTGTCAGGCTTCCTACCCATTTGAATTCAGAAGCCTGTGTAAGTGAAAATTTATGTGATAAATGCCTCTTTTTGTCGCGTTCTTCGTTACGCTGTGCCTTGTTCAAAGCAATAGCGTTAGTACTGTATTGATTCACATATGATTTGTAAGTATTATCCATTCCTAATTTAAAGAGATGAGTGCCAGAAGCTATCTGATGAGCTTTCTGTCTCGTTAATCTAGTACCGTCCCCTTCTTCCTTTAAACTTTTATCTAGTTTTTCTAGTTCTTCTTTGGATAGTTGTCCACTATTGCGTTTCTTAAGATCATCCATATTAAATGTTCTAGGCTGCAAAGACCCTGTTTTAGATCTTGTTACAATTGTGTGTTTTTTCCCTATAAAATGAATAAAAATTATTAACCATTAAACACTGTTTTTGGCCCATGTATATAGTGAACTCGCTCAATCATCAATATAGCAAGAGTTGATTGTATTATTATATAGCCTACCATCTTTACCAATTTTTGATATAGCCTCTTCTCCTTCTAGTACTTCTTCATCAATTTCTTCGGATGATGATGATGTAGCAGTTTTGGCACCTTTATTTGCTACATCTGTCATATTGGTATCTACACCATCTACTTCTACGTTTTCTCCAACTACTTCAGAAGCATTTTCTCTAGAACTAGATTCTTCAGATGGTTTTGTTTCCTGCTGATCTGTAACAGTTGCCAACTGTTCCTCGATAGAATCTGTACCCTCGTGTATACGACGTACCATTTCTTCAGCTTCTTGCCTCTGTTTTTCCTTTTTCTCCTCTTCTTCCTTTTCCTGTTTCTCTTGTCGTTCTTTTTGCAATTTTTGTATAAGATCTACATCATAAAATATATTTAATACATATTCTTTTTAACGTACAAAATGTACAAAGATTATCGAAACTTACTGTTTTCTATTTCTATATACGATTTCTTATTGCCCTTGTACTGATTAGTAATTTGTTCTGTAAGTTCCATTTGTCGTACAATTTCATCTTTATAATCTGATAATTCTCTATAAAGCGCAACTTCCATCTCGTTACGGTCTAAACAGCGCAATAACTCGTCTAGTTGCATAGGCGTACTATAATACCAAACTTCACCATCTTCACTTTCGCTACAATAAATAATCAACAATAATTATTAATTTAAGAATAACAGTATAATATATTTCGTTTATGAATAATGTGATGTATTTACACAAAAACTCTTCTTGCAAGAAACCAGTATTTCCTGCCATGTCTGTCAAACCCTAGATGTTCTTGACGACACAATGAACCATTCTTTTCAACATCAGGAATGCAATCTGCAACTCCTGTAACTTTATGGGCTTTACATGTACTACATTGCCAGTCTTCTGTAGGAACATCAACCAATGGAGGTTCAACACATTCTAAGTGAAATACAGCTGGACAAGTTTCACAACACAATAGATCTCCCAAACGATGACACACTCTACAGTGATCATCATAATGCATATTCCCTAAAAATAATCAGTTATCACAACATCTGAAATACTTTCAAACTCATAAATTCAATATTTAATAAATTAAATACTCATAAACTCAAACAAAACTAAATTCATAATATAATTTTAATGTATGTTTCATATTTAATTGAAGTAATTATTGATCAAATTTTTAAGCATACAAAATCATTTTACAAAATTGAAAAAAAAAACTGTAATTTCAGCATGGACATATGAATTTTTCCTGCTGGCTAAATAAAAACGTATAACTTATAGAAACATATGCAAATAATAAACAAAATAACATGAAATACCATTTAGTGTACCTTCATGCAGCAAGTCTTCTCTTACTGGGTTTGTGATTAAAAATTGATCTGTCAAAAATTGTAGCACCTTGATTCTATCTTCGATAGAAGTAAAGGGATATTCACATGTTGACAAAATATGTAAAATATTTTGATCAAAGGACTTGTCACTTTCTACATAAGAACGTAACACTTCTGGCCAAGTCATAGAATCGACAAAATATAAACTAACATTTACAGAGTCTTTTTGATCAAGAGGACCAAAATGCGTTTGTTGAGAATCCTCTTCTCTAAGAAGAGCCTTAATAAGCATAATATGTATTTCAGCTAATAAATTGGTTTGATCTTCGCACATTAGAGCAGCACAAAAGTCTTCAAACCTGAAGGCTGAAAGACGCACCAAAGTACGGAAGTGTCTTAATACTTCATAAACAGATAAAGATGGCATAACAAGTTCTCTAGGAACTAATAAATCATCTGAAGATTTAGGTAAAATCAATGATGGTAGTTCTCTGTTTTGAAGCCACAGCGGTTCTGGACTTGGCGGTCTTTGCTGGCTAAGAAGTGTTTTACGGGGTGTGCCACTAGTGTTACTATAACTTGATAGAGAAAAGTCACTGTCACTGGAGGGATCAGGTTCTTCTATACTTTCAGATGAATCTACATCACTTTGCAGAAGATCCTCCTCAACTTCGCTCTTTTCACTGGATTCATCACCAAAATCCGACCCATAATGATATTCGGAATCGTGATAGTCAACATTCGGATTGTAACCTCGGCGTTGATATACACCAGAACTCGAGTGACCACCTTTACGCGAATGTCTGTCTCTGGGTCCTCGAGATTTTCTTGTTCTTGTACTTCGTCTGCTTTCTTCGCTTTCGACTGGTGATGACGGTCTTGAGGGGGTTGGTGTACTTGGTTGTGAATTTGGCGTTTCCGAACCCTTGTTTTGCAAATACTTGGGCTTTTTCATAAGATGGTATTGAAACTTTTTGGGCCTTTCCATGACCACCGATTTCGGAGGTCGGCCCCGTCTCTTCGACCCTCTCCCCGTCATTGTTCGTCACGGACTGTCAAAAAAATGGCACTTACTTAACACGTGGTTTGTGAAAACGCGCGCTTGTAAACAAATACAAATGACACCGTAGCAATGAAATGGAACCCATGTTTGTACTCTGATCTTTGCGCCATTTTTCGGCTATGGTCACGTGACCAAACACAATCCTTTCATGATTAACGTTTCGATACGATCTTGCGTGGCTTCTATTTTTCGATTGACCAGCAACGATCACTTCCCCGTATCAATAAGAACCCGTTTTACTATCGATAACGACAAAAATAAGTACAGAATCATTCACTGAAGCGAATATAAGGGGAATTTACAATATCTGATTCCTTAAGAGAGCGCTGTTCCAATTGGTTCATCAAATCGCCGCCATGTCTGGCCTCGAACACATCTACTCGAAAAGTAGATGAGATCTTTGATAAAATTTTCTTCTTCCTTATTTAGAGTGATCTATGGTTTGACCAAGTCTATCGCGTTCAAATTTCAATGAGATTCATACGATCCAGATGCTGATTAATCGCCTTTTAATTTCTCACGAAACGTACAGACGATCCAATCGCTTTCACCGTAACTACACAAGATCCTGTCAGATCAACAATAGGTGGCGACATGCGCGGTTGAAAGAACGCGTTTCTAACCACACTTCCGATACACATTCCTTCTTTATTTCTTCACTATTTCTATCTTTTTACAGTTTATTATATTTTAATCCACTATGCTTTTTCTCACGAACAAGGCAAGCAATTAATTCGTATGCTTGATCAGTCCAACTCCCAGTTACCCGCAAGAGAGAAATGTAACCTTAGTACGAACAAAACTTCGATAGAGGACACCACTTTAATTCCAAATTGTATATTGTTTTACCGGTGTATTTTTTTTAATTTGTACTATCATAGCAACTAAAATGAACAATATTAAATATCAAATAAAAATTGTTTGTATCTTCAGCGTAGAATTTATTTAATATTAAACGTCAATTAACTTGTAAGAAATGAGCGACGAATGCGACATCTTTGCAATTGAAACTAAAATTCTGTCAAATTTAAATCGGAACATCTTCTGATACATATGTTAAAATTAATATAGTTTTTCTTATATATGTACATTTTTAAAAATACAACATAATCACGTTTAAAAATCAACTTACAGTAACAAATTTTTTAAGTCATTTTATGAACAGTTGAACTCTAGCTTGATGATAGTTACTGATGCAAGTAAACTAACGTTCTAATTCTACTGAATTATTCAAACAATAATTTAAATATATTTTTGTAAACTGTTACATATCAAAATGTGTACGAAATGTATTGTTAGAAATGCGAAAAGATCTTCACATGATGTAATTTCACTAAAAATTGCGACGCCATCTTTGAAACGGAAGCAGAGCGTAAAAGCACAACAGATTCAAGGGTAGAGGGGGTGAAAGAAAAATGGCCACCTAGCGAAAATCGAGAAATACGAAAAAACGAACGGGTGTGATAATCGAATGTGAATACGAGTTGACTGATTTTTTTACGAATAAATCTTCGAAGAACGAACGAAATGCGTAACGAAATGACAATGTACACGTTGAAACCGATCGTTTCTCTTCCACAAAGGTTGCATCATAGTAAAACGATGTACGAAATGCAAAATATTCATGAAGAACGATCAAGAGACAACCATACGGAAGCCGACAACAAGATCGTGCCTGATATTACTGAGCAGGTTATCAACTTTTTAAAGGTTTTCATCATTTCTGTTATCCTGACCACGTGAAAAAACGTAGCTAGATCAACTAGAATCCAATGGTTTACTTACGCGTTTATTAAGCATGGTAGCTACGAATCTTTCTTCTGTCTCAAGCTTGTTGTGCATGACTCCTCCCAAAATTTCCACAAGCACTAATCACGATCGACCGGGAATATGGTTCTACAGGCTTGATCGATGTTTGCCCCTCCAATTTTTCATCTAACAGGACATTACGCGACTATAATACGTGAAAAATTTACTTTGCTCGAAGGATAAGCAAGAACGCGACGATAATTATTATAGAAGAAGGGCAAGCTTACTAAATTAGAACTGCACTGAAAGCTACAAAGTACAGTTGTATAACCAAACACACATAAAACCTAACCCAGTAAAAGTTATAGCTGTTTACTGATATTAATCAACACTATTACTGGTGAACTGTCAAATTGTAATGTGTAATATTATTTTTTAAAGATATGTTTCCTAATGTAGAATTGATAATATGACAATTTCATGTTAAATTTTTACATATTCTAATTTGAATAAAAAATGTATCATTGGAAATGTATTATCATGAACATTGTAGTACATTGTTAGATCTAGACTGTAATCGCTTAGTAGTTGTATTGTAAAGTAATTTAAGTATATTTTCTATAAAAGTATATATGTATATGTTATATTTCCTTCAAAATGTATTTTTAAAAATTAAGAAAACTCATGTCATTTTGCCTATACATATAATGGTACCAAATAATTGTAGTTTAAAAAAGTATTTTATTTTAGAGTCCATTACCAGAATATACTGCACTGGAAATTAGACAAGAAAAGATATTGATACAACTTGCAGAACTTAAGCAACAAGTATCAGCACTGAGTAACTTCCTAAAACAAACGAATCAAGTTACAGTAACCAATAGCAGTCATAAAGCTCAGGTAAGATTACCATCATGTAAAATGGTATTTCATTACATGAAAAATATTAATGGAAATAATGAGTTATTACTTGTTTTTCTAGGAAACAATTACTGCAAATCTTATCATCAATGTAAATCCAAGTAGACCACCTTATTTTATATCAGCCCTACAAAAAATATGGACTGATGTTGATATTAGAGTACAAACTTACACTCATTCAAGTATTAATAAAACAGGGCCCATAACTCATCAGTTAACTACAAGTTCTTCCAGAGAGAATGTTATAAATCTATCATTAATTTGGAAAGATGGTAAAGTAAATCCATATTTTTATGAATCACTGAATAGTAAGAAATGGATTTTCATAGTTGGTTTCTTTTCAGTTGAAGACCTTGAACTTACACTTGGCCTACGTGGTTATCACATAACTGGAGAAGTTAATTTTCTAAGATATCTAAGTAGGCTATTAAATTCGCATAATTATGAAAGTTCTGTTTGTTTAGAAAAAGTAAATACAATTGATTCAATATTAGACTTGTGTTATTGTTTACACTTTAAAGCAACATTAAAAGAAAAGCAAGAAATATTATCATTAATAGCTGATAAGTTAGCTGCAAATTGGATTGATAATAAAACACCTGATATAGCAGATATTGCTGCATGGTGTACAATTAAACAAGTTTTTCCAAAGAAGTATCCATCTAAATTAAATAGGTGGTTTGATACATGTGAAAAATTGTTTGTGTAAATAAAAATTTCATATTAAAATGCATTTATTATCTGTATGAACACAGTTTCAATTTTTTTTAAAGTACTTTAAACCCTAGTAAACATAATTCATTAAAATCATAAAATATTGCCAATAAAATTGCCTAAATTTAAGATTTTTACTTAAAGTACTTATGTAAATATGATTTAGTTTAAAATGTACTTTGATTAAATGCGTCATTATTACATTAGATCCTAGACAGAAGTAATTTAAGTTTAATCTTGAACTAAAATATTTATTGGCAGTGTTGCAAAAGTGAATCAATTCTACATGTTTGAGGAGATAAAGAAACATTTATGACACATGGTAATGATTGATGACAGATATTAACGAATGATGAAATTAATACTAATTAGAAAGCAAGTTATTTGATAAGACGAAAAAAAGTTAGCAAAAGTTTTTCGAAGCGAATATGTATCAAATAACTTGCTATCTAGTTCATGATGATGATAATACGTAATCGGGACTTTTCAATAGTAATTGACATGACTATACCTGCAATCAATAATAAAAATTTCAAGTATAATTTATCAATCTTATTTCATCAACAAATTACAATAAAAAATTGTTCTATCAAATATGATAGAAGTATAGCTGCCATTACTTTGAATCTTCAGTTGTTTTCATTTCATTTTATTTTCTTTCACATTTTTAATAATAAATTTATAAATTTCAGCATATATTGTCAAAGAATATTTTTAGGAATTACTTTTACATTTGTCAAAATTTTTCATTTGATTTCTTTGTTATAAAAGTAATGCTAAAAACTGAAAAACATTTCAAGTAGTATGTATCAATATTAGTCTAAAATGTTTTTCACATTAAAACGCTTTTTGTATGAAAGAATAATTGCATTAAATAAATGTTTTACGGTAAAAAAGATTACTTTCCTAAATTGAATAAACCTCTATATGATAGTAGTTTGCAATACTGTGAATATAACATATACTACAGATGAAGTAATGATATTAAAAATTAAACAAGTTTCATAAATTCCTTATATGCAAATGTCAATGTATTAAAGTCAAATTGTTTGCCTCATGATTCTAGACCAGCATCTATTTAAATGATAAGTAACTATAGTTAAAGAAGATAAATACATGTCGCTATTTATTATAGATTATTCAGTTTAAATTTTTACCTAACGTTGCCTAAGCTGTGCACTAAATGTACAAGTGTCATACTAGAATATGTTACTACTATCTCGTAATTTATAGAAGTTTTATGTACATCATACAGTATAATATTAAAAACAAATTACTTATAGATAGAAATGCACGCAGTTGCATTATAGGTAAACATAATTATTACGTTTGCTATTTATTTACCATTCTAATATTACCAAACTTAGGCATCTTCAGTTTATGAAACTTGTCAAAAATTGATATGATAGGCCTGATTGTAAAGTGCTTACAAATCTAAGTTGACATTTTACACTTTATACTTCTATTTCGAAGTATGTATATTCAAGAATGAATCAGAAACATTTTTTGTTCAAGTTGTAATGACATTACAATGAGTTCAGTTCATGGAATATGTATTCATAAGTTCTAAGTAGAGAATATGATTTCATTGGTTTTATCATATTAGTATTGTATTAAAATATTATTTTGTTTCTAATGTTAATAATTATGTAGTTTTTTCTGGCAGTTTTCGTTATTGTATTATTGTTTGTTATCAACAATATTATGCTACTGAATTTTTAATCTGTTGCATTAACAGATTACTTTGAATAGTATATTGTTCTTACAGTTAAAAAAAAAATGCATAAGCATTGCATTTTTAGAGATCCATGCAATATTTTGTTTCAGCTTTACTTAATAAAAGTAAAAAATATTCATTATACACCTTATCTAAAATTATAAATAATATGTATCTCAATATATCACAATATGACGGTGCCAGAAGCATATTAAAATTACTATACGAAGTATCTGCGTGCGTGAAACACTTGTAAACACGTGTTTCAACGTAAGTCTTTAACTCTGGTACATCTCGGTGTACTTTTAATGCCGAACTATTAAAATCCTAACTACTCTATGAAATTGATCAAAATTTTAACAACCAGTCTCTTCGTGTATATGTTTAGTAGTTTAAAATATTCTTTCCTAAATTTTCAAAACCAATAACGATTATGAATGTTACTATATTAAATCGGCACCTTACTTACTGAACAAACCCTTGTCATCGTATTATGAACAGCTTATACGAACGACGAGAAGCCAGGTAAAGGCGCCCTCGACCTTGCCATATTGTTCATAATAATTTGACCTCCGTTTAAACTAACAACCGCACTACCTTCAGGTTCAGAATCAGTGTATGAAGAATAATTTCTAACTGGTTTTTGACGTTTCCACGACTGTCTTAAGGAATCATTAACGTTAGCATAATGATTTACAAAGGAATGTGGATCTGACTGTACACTTTCATTTTCACTTTCAGATCCCTATAACGTAAAATAAAATAATATAATACATATTATGTGTTAAATGTATTTTAAATGTTAAGAAAAAAATATTTACCTGTGAATCTGTTGAACTAATTTCAGAAGGTTTTTCTGTAACACTACTATCATCAGGATTTTCATCATACCCTTTAAGACTCTCTTCATCGCTATGATATGCAACCGAGGCTGGTGAGGGTCTAGGAGGCGATTTGCCTAACATTGTAGGCGGAGGAGGATGCATGGATTTTCTTGCTAAAGTGTTCCTTTTACCTAAAGTACCACAAGCACTTGCCATGTTGATAGCACCACCTCCTCCTTGTCTTGATCTATAAAGTTCTAAATCTGATTCTTGTCTATCATCTGTATCCATTGCCATAGACTCTTCAAGTGTCTTTTGTGCTTCTTCTAACATAATTATTTCGTCATTATTCATAAATATAAGTTGTATCAATTGAATTATATATGGAGCAACTTACGTTTATATTTATAACTTTTACTTTTTACACATAGCACAGCTATGACCATTATAATGATTATAACTGAAGTAGCAGCTAAAGTAACCATGAACCAAGTTTGTCTGTAAAATGGTTTGTGTTGCAAGTATGCATATTCCAGATACAGTTTCGACGGAGTTAATATCTAAAATACATATATTATAAATGTTAACATTAAATGTATAATGTATGTATCATTTTACTACTTACCGTTTCAGTGGAATAAGCCGGATAACTGATTCCATAACGATTATATGATATCACTCTAAATAAGTATGATGTGGATGGAAGTAAATTTTGATAAGATACAGAATACTCTGTCAATGGCCCATTACTACTGCGCACTATTGTCTGCCAACGACTGTCATCTACAATTACAAATAATGACATTTAAGTTTTATGAAAATTCTATGAAAATTGACCGACAACTTCAGCAGGTTTTCTTATAAACAAAACGATATATACTGCTTCATTTTCTTGAATTAAATATTTGTTTATAAATGATTTTATTTCAACTATAATTGTTATGTAATTCAATATTCTGTTGATTATTTTTAATATTGCTGACTTATTGAAAACAATTGAAAACTTGCGAAGTTACATTATAGTTCTATATTACATGTTTTAAGGGCATTGATGAAATATTAGATGAAGGAATTGGAAAATTAAGACTGTAGGAATACTGTTATCTAACAAAAGTCAAACATCAGCTAGTTATTTATTGTAGTAAATTTATAGCAGCATTCAAAGTTAAGATTCATCTTATATGTTTCTAACTGAATTCATGGAAAATGTCATGCTATGACATCATCATGCAAATCAACAGTACAAATACCACTAAAAAAAGTACCACAGGTTATTACAAAGAGGAAGCCGTCATATTTTAACACTAACAAATCATATTTAACTGTTAAGACCATCTAATATATAATAACTGATGTTTACGTGCACTAACACTTACAATGCTGCCATTCTTCCATTGCTATATGATTACAAAAAAGGTAATATTAGTAAAACAGTACTGTCTTTTTTAATTTAACATTAATCTTTTATTCATATGAATGTACTCTCTCGATATTCCTTAACTCGTTTTTTTTATGATATTGTAGGTATATCTTCAAAAATATTATCTTAACATTAACTACTTGATAATAATAAAATATTTAATGTTATTTACCTTTCCGGCGTGTTTCAATATAGTATCCAAGAATAGGTCCTTTCCCAGAAGCTCCATTAGTCCATTGTAATTCAACACTAGATACTGTTTTAGTAACAGCAAGATTGCTAGGTGCCATAGGTGAGCCTTCTTGTGGACCTGTTGTGACGTTTCCAGATATAGGTGGACCAAAATCAATGGTTTGTGCTCGAACCATAAAGGTATAAGTTTCTTCTTCTTCCAAAGGTTGAATTAACAAGCTTGTTTCCGTTACTTTCTGTTTTACTTGCTTACTAAAACCTTGAATAAAATGAAATATTATTTACGACCAATACACAATATCTCAAACGTTAGAGATAATTTTTTATATCGAGAAACATACGATCGTTCTGTTCTGCTGTTTCATATGTAACAATATAACCAACTATTTGTCCATTTCGTAATTTTGGTGCTTCCCAAGAAACTCTAAGGCTAGTCATTGTAATTTCAGTGAACTGTAAATTATATGGAGGTCCAGGTATATCCTGTAAATGCAATTCAATGTAGCTCTCAAATGAATTAAAGTTGTAGATTAATTTTAATTAATATGAAATTTACTTCTTTAGTTCGAACGGTAATTGGTGGAGTTCGTGGGCCGTCACCAGCCGGATTAAATGCTAATACTTGAATCCGATATTCTGTATATTTATCCAAAAATACTAAACTATGCGTTAAGTAAGATGCTGGGACAACCTCTATTTCTTCTTCTTGTTTGTTTTCTAAGTCTTGAGGAGAATCAGTAACTAAATAGAAAATCTAAAACAGAAAATTTGAATTATTTACTGAACTTAAAATAATGGATCTACGTATAAAAGTATAATAATACTTTATATCCTAATAAATCTCCATTCTGCATATTAGCTTGAGGTGGTTTCCATCGTAATTGAACTTCTGTAGAAGAAATTGATTCTGCTTTTAAATGTTGTGGTTCTCCCGTGGGAACCGCTTCTCCCACATATACAGTTACTGGAGGGCTTGACGGACCTTCTCCTTCGGAATTGAAAGGTAATACTACTATCTCGTAGTATCTATCCTCTGTTAAATCACTTAAAACGATTTTTGTAGCCTACAATTTAAGAAGCAATTAATTAAATGTCTCATTTTTAATTATATTCATATTAATTACCTTTATTCCCAATATTTCTTCTTTCGGTGTATCTTGAAGAGCTGTTGGAAAATCAGAAACTGGTTGGTAAATGACTCGATAACCACCCGTTTCATGATCTCCACTCCAATATACTTCATCTATTGAATTCCAATGAACCTCTATACTTGAGGTTGTTATTGGAACAACTTTTAATCCAGTAACACCCTTAGAAGGCGCTATAAATTGATACAATAAATTATATTTTCATTAGATAAATTCAGTATAAAGCAGTGTCTTTATATACCTGCTGGTAAAGTTTGAACTTGAACAGATTCTGTGCTCCAAGATGAAGGACCAATGTCGTTAGTTGCTTGTATTCGAAATTGATATAACGTAAAAGGTTTCAAGTTATTTGCCGTGTAAGATGTTAAGGTTGGTTCTACTCTTTCAGGAACAGTTTGAAACGGTCCTGAATTTTCTGACTGTTGTACCGTATAATAACTATGAAAGATAACGCCAAATGATATAAATGTTACAATTAGGTTCATGTGTTAAATTTAAAAAAATTTAAGTAAATTATGTACCGTAGTGGGGCAAATCCATCACGACCAGGTGTCCAACTAAATGTTATTTGTCTACTTTGTACTTGTGATCTGCTTACTTGTGGCATCGATGGTGCTTGAGGACGTTCCCTATTATTCGTAGTAAAAACGAGAGCGTATGCCGTTTTACCCCAACCTAATCTCGTTTGTGCAGTTACTGAAAACATGTAATACTTTTCTTGCTCTAATCCAGTCGCTCTGAAAAAAGTAATATATTTATATAGATTTCACTTAAATTTTTACCTATTTAAATTAACATATTGACAGTTTTCGATTATTAATTATACCTAAAAGTTCTATCTGATGCAGGAAATTCCTTAGAAAATTGATGATCCTGACTGCTATTTAAATGAAACAAAACTTTGTAAGCAAGAATCTCTCCATTGGGATCTTCTGGCGTGTCCCAAATAATGCGAGCAGTAGTGAAGCTTACATCAGGAAACGATACATTTGACGGAGGCCCTGGAGCTGTAAAATTTTTAATTTATTTAATCGTTCCTATAAAAAGACATTTAAAAATCTGATGGAAAAAGTGTACCATCTTCGAATGTTTGTACTCTAACTGGCGGTGTACTTAAAGTTCCATCACCGAGTCTTGTATAAGCTAGAACTTGTACATGATACTGAACAAATTTTCGAAGCTCTGTTAAAGTGGTTGTAAAAGTAGTATTGCTAGGAATGTTTTTGTATTGGAATGCAGATCTAGCATTTGCGCCATAGTAAACCTTAAATCCTTCTATCTGACCATTTTGATGTTCTATTGGAACGTCACCCCATCTCACTAATATCGTCGTAGAAGAAGTCGCGTTGGCTTCAACATTAACTGGTCCCATTGAGGGAACTAGATAAAAACAATCATATATTAATTATAATCAAGAATAATTTCTATTAAACACGTTACACATATGTTTCGCTAAACTTACCTGATTCACGAGTTCTTTCAATAGCTTTAGGACTTAGCGTAGACGTTCCAACATCGTTGAACGCTTGCATTACAATTTCATAAAGAGCATACTCTTCCATATTTTCTAAAATATAGGAATTCGCTGTATGGTCCTCTATAGTTATACTTTTAGACTTATTTGTTCGAACTTCGGTGTAAGTAACATTGTATCCTCTTGGATTACCATACCATTCAACCTGTTGTAAAGGCTGAAAAAAATAAATTCAAGTCAGATCTCAATATTTATATTTCATTAGGTAACAAAACTGAAAACCTACAATCCATCTGACACGTAATTCCGTAGCACTCATTGCACGTACGGTAACATTTCTAGGAGGATGTGACGGCGGTGCTTGAATCGTTTGAAACTCTTTCGTTGGTTCAGAAGGTTGAGAAGCACCGACAACGTTATTAGCTATTAACCGTAGTTTATATTGCATAAAAGGAATTAGGCCACCCACAGTGATTGTACTAGCATCAGGATCCGAGACCTCGTATATGTTATACCAAGTAGTATTCCGAGTAGTTTGTGCTTGCACCGTCCATTTCGTTATAGACGAATTACCATCGAAACCAGGCGTGAATTGAAGAACGACAGAGAATGCATCTATATTGGACAGCGCTAATTTAGTCGGTGGTTCAGGAAGAACAGGCTCGACACCGGATTGAATGACGGCTACTCTTGGTTTCCCAGGACCAACCGAAGTCCAAGCAATAACTTCAAACTTGTAATGTGTCATTGCTTGTAAGTGTTCAATTTTTGCTGATAAAACGTCTGCTGTGATGTTTTCAATTTTTAAAGAATCTGGTACATCTTTGATCATGTATTTTAATTGATAAAGAGTGAGAATGCCGTTGATTTCTTGCGGAGGACTCCATTTAACGGTAAGCGCACGATCACTTATGTCCTCGAATTGTAAATTCTCTACTTGTTCAGGTACGTCTTCCAGTGTACGAATTTGAACGGGTGAACTTTTCTCACCGTCACCCGGATCGGTGAAACATAACACGGTTATATTGTACAAGGTATATTTTTTTAAACCAGTCATAATGGCACTTTGTTCTGCAAGAGGATCAAACAGGCTAGGCGGTACGCTCATAGACTTGTATTCGTTTGCTTCTGTAAAATTATCGGCGATCCAAGCTTGCAACTTGTAACCTTGATTTATTCCATTAATTTTCTGTGGATTCGGAGGTTTCCACCAAACATTTATCGCCGTTGAATTAACGGCATTCGCCTTTACGTTAGTCGGCGGAGCTTCCGGTACTCCTTCTTTAGTCTTAATCTTCAAACCTTCAGTGAATACGCCAACACCTTTATCGTTGTACGCTGCTATTTGTACAATGTAGTCTTTCCACGTGATTAAATCGGTGATTAGATAATTTCTTTGCGCTTCGTTGGTTATATTCTGTATTGTCCAAGGGCTGTCATTGTAGCCATACAATCTGTACCTCAACACGTATCCTAAAATATGGCCATTTCGGTATTCCTCCAATGGTAGTTGCCATTGCGTTATTATTTCAGAAGATGATCGAGCGGAACCAACGAATCCTACCGGTGGTCCACTAGGGGCTGATGAATAATAAGTAAAGCGTTATTCAACATTCAAAATTAATAGACGTATGGATTTATACTTACGTTCTTGAGGAAGAACTACTACATTGCTTGGATCGGAAGGAGGTCCTTCACCAACACTATTTTCTGCACTCACTCGAAATTGATACGCAGCAGCTGCTTTTAAATTGTTCAACAATACCCATCGACTTTGTGCAGAAACATTATCGCATTCAGTGATCCAATTTAATGCAGAATCAGGGATTGGTCCTATAATTACAAACGATGCACACACGTGGATCTGTTGTATTAAAGTATAATTTAATTATATTAACTTACCAAGATCGGATACCTCTCGCCTCTGTACTATAAATTTCTTCGTCGGGCTATTTCCATCAAAACCTGGCACCCAACTAACGTTTATAGTACGAGGAGAGATTCGCTCCACTCTGTCTGCCATTACATTTATGGGTGCAAATGGTAATTCAATTACGCTGAGTCGAGCTGATCGAGTCTCGTTCCCTCCCGGAGAAACCACAGAGCACATATATTCGCCTACATCAGAAGCTCGAACAGCAACTATTTCCAATGTACCATCGCTACGCATTTTTACTCTTTGACTGGCTTGCGTATTTATTACTCTAAAGAAGGAAATGATTGTTAACATCGCAAAACGGTATTGATGTTGTGTTAATGTGATAATACGCACTGTGAATTGTGAAACCAAGCGATATCATATAAAACGCTTGGATCGTTGGAAACTTTACACTGTAACTCAGCAGTATAGCCGAGAAGAACAGAAGTATCAACAGGTGGTTGAACAATTTGTGTTCGAACTAAAATAAAGAAAATATTTGTAATTTTTATTGGATGTGTATTACACCTGTTACTTTGACTGTAAATAAAAAGGCTAAAGTTCAATACGGTATTTTAGTAGATTGTTTACCTAAAACAGTCAGATATGCTGAACCATTTACAGAGCCAGCTTCGTTAGCTCGAATACAAGTGTATTTTCCTGCATCGTTTGGTTTAACAGCAGCTATCAAAAGATCACCATTATCCAAGACCTGTACTCTTCCAGCGATTTCCACAGGAATTGTATCTACCGATTCATTAAAATCATTAATTAATTTTTCATATAATAAATCTATCTTCATTTGTGAGCGATGTACCATTATAAATCCACGTCGTATTAGGTATTGGAGCAGCTACAGCATTGCACGTTAATGTCGCATCTTTTCCATCTAATATGGTAAGATTCTGTGGACCATTTTCCATAATTGGTCCAGATGCTGCAAACAATGCGAACGTTTTATTACATTATTTATCTAAAATTAGAATTGCTCACATGCACGCAAAATAAAAAAAAGGCAGAAACAATTGGACACAAAAATAAAATGTTCCCAGTTCAGCATTTTCCAGTATGTATCTTAATAAATATATATAAAATTATTTAAAATGAATAGAAAAAAAAAAAATGTTGATAAACGTATAATGGAGAATGCTGAATTAACCCATAGATAATTTTTATTTGCAATAACAATGTTCTAATACTAAAACTTTATTATTTGTACTAAGAGGATCATGTTAAATATACTCAATAGCACAACTACAGATTTCTTCCTAATCTAACAGTACTTCTAAGTAAACACGTGCTATTCGTGACGTATTTATCTTCGTAGGATCCTGTATACGTGCAAAAATTCAAAATAATAAAAGATTTTTGATGCTAATAAACATAGGTAACTTTTTGAAATAACAAGTGAGGTGTTTTTTTTTTTTTATTGTAAAAAATATTATTCCATACTAGAATATGTTAAGTTTAATCAATAAATATCGAACATTTTTCATAATTTCTCATGGAAAAATGTGTTTTGTACACAAAGGAATCATCGTGCTTTGTGGATGTATTCACTAATAACTACCAGAAAAAGAAAACACGAGTACAGCTGGTAAAAGCAAACATTGTGATGTGATATGCATTCTTCAAGCATGTGCCTAGGATAATTTGAATAAAAAAAAAGATAGGTGGGTATTTCGTGGCCACGTGGCACTAGAATCTTACTGTCTGGATACTGAGAGAACTTAAAACGGCGATCAGATTGGCGAACTCTGACTACATTGTAGCCAGCTGCCCAGCGGGCAACTCTGTTTTTCATTCTGCTTTCTAATCCTTCTGCCCCACAAAAAATACGTCATTTGTAATGAGTACAAAGAAACATCGATCGATTAAACAGAAAAAGGAAATAAAATAAAAACTGATTAAAATATTTCTATTAAACTCATCAGGCTCTACTAACTTTTAGCTTTTAACCAAGTGTAACTGGATGCTTCGCCAGCTTCATTGGCAGCAAGACATTGAAACATTCCTGAATCATCCATAGTTAATTTTTTAATTGTTAGAGAACCATCTTCTTCCATAGCATACCTATTAATAAACGATCATTAATAATTCTGCAATTGAAACTTTACACCATTGTCTCTCAGGATTATACCTAGATCCAAGAAGATGGTCCACGGGCTCAGCATTACGGAACCAACTAATGTTAGGAGGAGGAACGCCAACAGCATCGCATGGCAGTGTTACAGTTGATCCATAATCACTTAAGGTCTCTCTTTTCAATTCAGTTATAAACGCTGGTTTCTCTAAACGATGGATAATCGATATCTAATTAATAATCGCTCCAATGCGCTAGAGTAAAATTTAAACGATTATTTTTACCATAGACGACAACTTTGGCGCTTGCATTCACCGTAGGGTAACCACCGCTTCTCAGATCCACATGGCAAGAATATACACCGGTATAAGTTATATTTGCCGATATCAACGCTAAAGTTCTGTTCCACGAGTCGTTAAAGCTATACGATATCCTGGAATTCTCGATGGGAATCCCGTCTTTCGTCCATAAAGTTCGTAACTCGTGAAGCGACCTAAAATCGTACAATTACACTTCAAACTTATTATCTAGATACTTATTTCTTTTTGTAATCAATGTGGAAATACAATTTTAGCTCTTTCCTTTGCACACAGGCATAAATTACCTAGCATTTGCTATACAATATATGTAAGTAACATCCTGATCCTTGATGATCTGAGTATCCTGAGGTTTCACTATGATGGTAGGCGCAACTTCAGCATTCGCATCCCCTGTTACTTGCAGTTTGAAGAACGGACTGTTCTCCTCCTTCCCTAATTGCGTGTTGATAGCTCTGGCTCTGTTTAACGCAACGATGCAACCATGAAGAATACTCCTTCCAAAGAAGTTACGTTAACAAGATAATTGAATACAAACCTGTACAGGCCCTGATCGCTTTCAGATGCGTTCAAGATAAGCAACGTGTGATGAACGGAGGCGTATTTTATGCCGTATAACAAGGAACCATCGGAGGTGAACCATGTAACGTCAGGTGCAGGATGACTCTCTATCGGTGGGAGCGTTAAAACAGCCGCGCTACCAGACTTTACGCTCACTATCCTTTCTGTGAGGTCCTCGAACACTCCCATATCTAAGGATAACGTTACAGGATTATTTTCTCTTCTATCAGGCGCATCCAAGCATACCAAAATACGCTGTTCGAAATTGTTGGAGTGTTTTACGTGACGATGGTACAGGTGGATCGGGACTAAAACTACTTTGAACAGTGCAATAGAAAGGTAAGAATTTTTAATGAGACACCATAATTAATACGTACAGGCTACTGCAAACGTAATTCTTTCGCTAAATATAGATCCTACGTCGTTCGTGGCTACGCAATGATAAACCCCTGCGTCTTCTCTGCGTGTACTCTGTATTCGGAAATAAGGCTCCGAAGTAAGCTCGTTGCTGAGTGGTACTCCATCCTTGAACCACTTGTACTTTGGCTGAGGATAACCTGGGAATAGAATTCGAATATTTCAATCTCCAGTCTGGTTAACATTTTTAAATCTTATTTATAATTTTATTCACGAATACTATAGGCACTTTTCTTGTTTGGTCAAGGCGTCCACGCGCTATACATCGACCTAATACTATTAGTACAGGGTCATACTATCATGTTACGGCAGCAGCCAGTAAATGTACGGCTTCATCTGGTCACCGTCTCATCCGGCTGTTACTCGATATTACACGTGAACGATGGCATATTAAAAGAGATGAGAAAATTTGGCAATCACCTTTGAAAAGTTACATTAGAAATCAAAGTGATATATAAATTTCCAAGTAATTTCAATTCAAGGAAATTCTGTGATTCAAGTATTTGATATGAAATTCGATAGGAGAGATTCTTTAATCAATTTAAATCGTCGCTTTCGGGTCAGATCTCTTCAGGGTTTGGTGCTCACCTCTCGCTTGACACTGCAGAAATTTCGTTCGATTTTCGCTAAGAATATTGCCGCTACTGGAAGGCTGAGTGGTGAAGCGCGGTTCCTGGAGGGTCTCTGTAAAAAGAAGAAAATTCATCGTAGGATTATAGAATCCATGGGGAAAAAAATTATTAATCGATAAATTGTAATTAAAATTTCATATGATATAATTTATTTTCATGGGAAAGCAGAAGGCTATTGGAGAACGTGCTAAAAGTGGTGTACCATGGATAAACGGTTATTCAAACGAGGAGGGGAAGAAAAGAACAATCGAGGGAAATCGCGTTAAAATTTCGTGGTGGATCGACGATGAGAAAGTCCATCGTGTTCGCCCCCATCTTAAAAATCATCAGACCACGGCAGAAAAGAGGGTGCACGTGTCGGTTTACGTTCATGTGACTCCGCTCTACGGCATCCGGCTGTTCGCATTCTTTTCTCTTCTCCTCTTCATCCTTTTGGTACACCGTAAATTACGCGCGCCTTAACCTGATGACTCAGTCGTTGTTGCATGGAATTCGAGCATAATAAACGGCTACATTATAAAATATTGCTTTATAGACAGTAGCTTAGAAAGGGTTGGAATTTCTACGAAATAAGTGCTAACTTTCCTTGGGAGAAAGTAATATTTCTCGTCTTTGGGACTTCTTTCCCCCAAAACTTGAGCCAAATACAGTAAAGGAATTAAAATAATTTAGCAATTTAGAAATTTACTGATTAGATAAATTCTCAACGAAATCACTGATCGGACTTTTCCATTTTCCCAGAGAATATCGGAGAAATTTTAATGATTCAACAAAATATTCTTCAAAGAGAAATCGTCGTCGATTCGAGAAATTCTGTCGCGAAGAGACACGCTCCAAAGCATTCCTGATGAAAGAAACCATCTTCGCGGTGAACAAGATCCCATAACGAGGGAGGGCTGTGAATCGATAAATTGTAACGACCGTTGAAACAATAATCGATGCCTGTCCCGGTAATAATTTTCTTAATCACGGTATTTCACAGGCAGTCTCGTTGAAAAGAAAAAAAAAAAATAACCGGCTATTATTTTTCAAGCACAGTCTTAGACGAGCTACTGTGTACTCGCATAATAATTTCTTTCTTCTCGACCGTGTAATCAGTCGCATCAGCTTGTACCACGATGACGGAAACGATGATGAATTTACAAGCTTGATAAACATACATTTAACACTTCAATTTAGAAATAAAATATTTCTAGAGGAAAGCTTTGTTTCGCGTCGTTAATTTGACTCGTTTCGCTGGCCAATCGAATTTTCTCAATAAGTCAAACGACAATGCTAATATACCTTAACCCTTTCACCGTGGTTTCCTCTGTTACAGTGAAAGCAAAAGTATGCGTTCTATAAAGGGAAGGGCGTGTCGTATTTGCCTTGGACAAACTAATTCTAGATTGATTAACGATCGGTTTTATCTGGCAACGATCCAGCCAACATTTGATAACCGCACCATCAAATAAAGTACCTATTCTCTTTAAAATATCTCTCGAAAAATGACGGAACAGATGTCTCGTATGCTCGTTGATTAATTAATTAACTGTTATTTTCAACTTTGAAAGCAATTTGAAATTAATCAAAAGGAAGTGCAACAGGTTGTTGACTAAAGAAAATTCAAAAGGCAAATGAAAGAATGAAACATCTCGAGACGAGTTTGTTAAAAGAGGCAAGGCGTCAAGGGGAAATAAAACGAGTTGATTACCTCTTCTCCTACACGCCGAAATAAGAAGACACTTTAATGCGGCCAGGCTGAAATAAGAAACAGCAGCATCATATGTGCGCTTATAGCAGTCGACCACTCAACAGTGGTACTTGAAAAGCTTTAATAAGTGGAGCACGTGAAAGACTGCTCTTATGCGAGCTCTTTGACCTATAATAATTTTGTAAATAAAGATTTTTAACGAACCTAATGACATATTTATTCATTTGATGTTTATTTATTACCAGAGGTAAAATGAATTGTTAAAATATTTAAAGAAGAGTACGGGAAACCAGACAAAATATCTGTCTTCACCCTTTGTAGCGTGCTAAAGGGGTGCTATGTGCATAGTTAATGATATAGCAACGTGTTTTGTCGAGTAGAAACCAGACCGGAATCGATCAATAAAAAGAATAGAAATAATTTCCCTCCCTTTTTATATTAACAAAAATTTACTAAATAAAATTAATTTTAGAATAAAAAGCAACCAAGTCAATTGGTTGTAATTTAAATGAATTTTAATTTTAGAATTTTTCACCTAAGCTATCATGAAACAACCCTCGATCCCATTTACTCAAATTTTTCAGTTAACAAAATAGAAATTTCATACCAATGAAATTTCCCCTAAGGCAACCAAGTCAATTCGATTCGTCATCCTAATTGTTCCGTGAGCAAGACCAATGATCACGAAATGGAACAGATTTTCCCGATGGTTTATTCATGGTAGCCCGAAGGGGGGGGGGGGGGGAGGGTTAACGAACAACGTGAAACGTGAAAGGAAAAATCAGGTATATTCAATGGTACAATCGTCGCACGATTTATCCGGCACATGCTCGTGTTATCGTGGCTGTACAAAAACCTTGGTTGCACGTTGCTGAACCAGTGAACCCCTATTTTAAGCACCGCAGCTGTCACGCCAAAGTGGAGAGGGGTATATATGCATTTACGCGCAAGGGCGGTGACTGGGGCGTGGATAATCTGCTTTTACTAACGGTAAGTGAGAATACACCGGATCTGTTTGAGAAACGATCTCATTCCCTAAAAATATGCATTCTTTTCCTTCGCACACTTTTCATCGAAAGTGAACTCCTAAGGTGTACAACCCCAAAGTGTAAGGGTATAAGAGAAAGAAACTGTGGGTCCATGGCAGTCAAAGGATTGATTGGAGCAAAGTTCCGTTATTAAACGACTGATTGGGATTTTTCTGACTTTTTAACTGAAAATCTAGATTATCAATTTTGTTAAAATTACTTTTATTTAATTTTGAAAAATTAATCGCTTCACTCCAGTATGTCAGCCACGAAGCGGATGGCGGTTTACAAGGGAACATTTTGCATAAATATTTATTAGACCTGTTTATGAAGATAACTGTAATTCGTTGCTGCCCGTTTTTCACTTTGAGGGAGATATCAACCCTTTCTATATACGTGTTTATAAATCGTAAACAACAAAAGATATAAAAAAATAGTTGAAATAAAAGCTGCGTGTAAGTTTTTTTTTTAAATCATCTTTCTTGCAAAATTGAATTCCCCCTCCTCCTCCGTTTTGAAAAACTTCACGCAGTTTTATAGACCTCAAGAAACGGTATAACTTTTATTTCAACTATTTTTTGATATCTTTTGTTGTTTACGATTTATAAACACGTATATAGAAAGGGTTGATATCTCCTTCAAAGTGAAAAACGGGCACCAACGAATTACAGTTATCTTCATAAACAAAGTTTCATCAAAATCGGAGTGTATCAGTCCCTGATGTTCCCTTGTTAGTTGGTAATTATGACAGATTAGACATGGGACAACTCATACGAGAATGCAGAATGCAGCAATCACCTGTCACCTCTTGGTTAATTTAAGGCCGGTTGAAATGATCCTCGCTAAAAGGAAACGACGAACAGGGTAGAGGTTGACCACCTGCAAACTGCAGAGAGAGTGGCGTGCAGAAGCAACGGGTGGAAGGTATAGCTGGCACTGCGTGTTGTAAGACGCAATGCGCAACATTTTGCGGATATCTTCGTCGACCATCGGACGAGATATCTCGCGTGAAACAGCTCGAATCGAAGTGAAATTCGTACGTCCACCGATCATCCTTTCCTTATCCCGCAAAAAAAACGCGCTTTTTCACAACCCCCGTGGGTCTGAAACTTTGCGAATTTCAGTCAACTTCCTACGATTTTTCCGTTTCTTCCATCGCGACAAGATCCTAATACTAGCAAAAATATTTTTCAAAAGAACCGAAAGCAAAGGTTCCCGCGAAGCAGAATGCGGCATTGGCGAAAAAATTGCATCGAAATTGGCAAAGCAGCGATTCCCTGTCTGTGCAGTGAAGAGCAATCGTGCGACTATTCTCTAAATCAATATCGGCCATACACGAGTGTTCAGAAGAATTTTCGAACGTTCGTAACAGCCTGGAATTGAAGCGATTAATAAAAATCCAAAGAAATAATCATGATTCCAGAATCGAAATAAAGTTCGACTTCGGACATAAATTCATCACATAAAATGATCACGAAACAACCCTTATGATACATCGATTTAAAGCTTAAAATTTAATGAAAATAACCGTGTAAACGTTTATGTGAAACAATGAAAAATAAATTACATAATTTAGAACGGAAACCGCGGTCGCTTTTCTTTGACGTACAACGCGGGGCTGCGCCGTTTATCGGCAAAACTGGTTTCAGAATGCAACGCAAAGCCATGGATTGGCATTGGACCTTCGGTGTAATGCACTTGAACGCGATTGCATTCGAGGCAAGGATACAAGGGAGACTCCGCTGTGTCTGCGCGCACTAGTCGTTCAGACACGTTACCGAGATATTTGGCGATCCGCCAATAAACTGGTCGAAATGAACGAGGTTCACGGTCGGGACTGGAATTCAGAAAGCGTTCGGCCAAGTCGGATGAAATCGTAACAGCGGAAATGTCCGTGCATCCTCTTTTACGAGCCGCGGTTATCGGACTACGCTGAACTAATCACCTCGGGCACGGTTGTCGAAAAGCAGCCGTTCCTGTTATATCCGTTGAAATAAAATTATTATCTCTATCGGGGAAAAATGATCGAGCGTGTACCGGTATTCGAGAAGCGGCTAGGATCTTCAGGAAATTCTCTCCTCGGCATAGACTGAGTCAGCAGCAACGGCGTTAGACAAAGGGAGGCTTAGTCAATTCTCTGATTTTTTTTAAGGGGGTTTGTCTTGAAATAACCAGCCGTAGGCTTAGCTTGGCGATGAAGTGCACTTCTAAACGAAGTGCAGCCAGCAAGGCAGCCGCGTATGGTTAGGAGAATTGGTGATGCCACGTGTTCGAGGGTCGATGCACCGTTCGTACCGATGTCCCCCAATTCCCTGGGGATACACGCGGGAA